CTCTGGAGTTCCACGGCAGGTGGCTGACTGCTGCTCTCCCCGGGTCTCTTCCGGGTCCCTCTCGCGGCGTTCCCCGGTCTGGCGGCGGCGTTCCCGGTCTGGCGGCAGCGTTCCCCCGGCCTGGCGGGCGGAGGTTTGAGATCTTGAACACTAATGAATGAAGACCAGATGAGCTGTGAGAAGATATTAAGAATATCATCCAATAAGAATACAAAAGGTCATTACAAAGAAGGAGGAAGAAGAAAAGACAAAAATGGATGTCAGAAGAGACTCTGAGCATTGCATTAAAGTGCCGAGAAGCCAAAGCAAAGTGAAGAAATCAAGAAGGTAAGGAGCTGAATAGAAGATTTCAAAGCCAAGGCAAAATATTATCATGAAATATGCAAGGAGCTGGAGTTGGAAAATCAAAAGGGCCAAACTCACTTGGCATTTCTTTAGCTGAAGGAACTAAAAAGCACATTCAAGCTGTGGGTTGCAATATTTAAGGATGCTATGAGTTGTCTACAACTTGACGGCATTTAAAAATAACAACAACATAGAGTTCAGTTGGCCTAGTGGACAAAGAGTGATGCTACGAAGCCAAAGGTGGGTGATTTTAATCTGCGGACTTCAGGTCTGGTTTTGTTTTTTGTCAAACATTCTTCTAAGTGGTACAGCACTGGTCTATCCATTTGCTGTACAGAGGTAATGTGGTTGCTGTGATGCTGAACACTGTGACACTGATACGTCAAATGTGATAATGATTATCCATTGTGGACAGTGTTTGGTGGAGCTCCCCGAGTAAAACAAGCTTGGAAGCAGAAGTGGCATTGACTTCCGAAATAGCTTGCCTCCAGAAAACCCTCTGAACTTGGAGAAACGATGAAAGTTATACAAGTTTTCAGGTATTTCATTCATAGGGTCATTCATGAGTCGTCTGTGACTTGATGGCACTTAACAACAATAACAATAATGGGCAGAATATTGAATGATCCAGAAAGCATTAAAAGAAGATAGGAGTATACAGAGTAACTGTACCAAAAAGAAGTGGCTGACAGAAGAATCTCAGGAAACAAGATATTATCAAGAGACAATGGTGATGAAGGAGAAAGTTCAGGCTGCTCGGCAAGACTTGGTAAAAATAATGCCCCTGGAATTGATGGAATACCAATTGACATATTTCAACATACAGATGTTGCCCTGGGTGTTTTCACCAGATTCACCAAGAAATCTGGAGGACAATTACCTGGCTAACTGCCTGGAAGAGATCCATGTTTATTTCCATTCCAAAAAAGGTGATCTGAGAGAGTGTGGAATTTATCAAACAATATCACTAATATCACACACAAGCAAAATCCTGCTGAAGATTATCCAGAAACAACTGGAACAGTACATTGACGAGAACTACCAGAAATAAAAACTGGACTTAGATGAGGTTGTGGCATTAGAGACATTATTGCTAATGTCAGATGGATCTTGGCAGAAAGTAAAGAGTACCAGATGAATGTATATATGTTTCATTGACTACGCAAAGGCTTTTGACTATGTGGATCACAACAAACTGTGGCTAACCTTGAGGAGAATGGGAATCACAGAACACCTGATTATGCTTATGGGAAACTTAGACCAGGAAGAATTCCTCAGAACAGAGCAAGGAAACACTGCATGGTTCAAAATCAGGAAAGGAGTGCATCAGGGATGCTTGAAGAGATCATTTGTGAAACTGGGCTTTATGAGGAGGATTTTTCCATCAAGATTCGAGAAAGACTCATCAACAACCTATGTTGTGCAGATGACACAATCCTGCTTGTTGAAACTGAGCAGGACCTGAAATGCTTGCTCTAGAAGGTCAAGGACTGTAGTCTTCAATATGGATTGAAGCTCAGCATCAAGAAGACAAAGATTTTCACCACTGGGCCAATTGGCAGCACCATGATAGATGATGAAGAGATTGAGCTTGTTAACAATTACAGCTTGCTCCATTACATAATCAACCCTCTTGTCACCAGGAATCAGGAAATCAAAAGACTAATTGCACTGGGAAAATCTGCTGTCAGGAACCTATCCAGAGTGCTGAAGAGCAATGATGTCAGTCTAGAGACCAATATGTGCCTGATTCAGGCCATGGTTTTCACAATTACTTGCTTGGCATTAGGGAGCTGGACAATGACTAAGGATGACAGAAGAAAAACTGATGCCTTTGATTTGTAGTGCTGGACAAGAGTCTTGACATACCATGGACTTTCAAGAAAACAAATAGGATTTTGAAACACCCTCTCAAATAATTTGGGCACATGGTCCGGAGGGACTGGTCCTTGGAGAAGGACATCATGCTCGCAAGAGTGGAGGGACAGCTTAGGAAAGGAAGACCTTAAATGAGATAGATTGAAGTAACTGGGGCAATGGCGGTAGGTGTATCAGAATCAGTGAGACTATCTCAGGTCAGGTTTCAGAGCTGCTGTACATTGAGCTGCTATACGTCGCTGGCTACTCGACAGCACAAAACAACAACAAAGTCAAGGTGAAGACAGAATTTAAGGAATTTTGCTCTTGATTTCGGTTCTCTTAAAAAAATACTATTTTGAATAAAAGATCTTAAATTTTTTATTATTATTTAATACCAAGACTGTTGAATCTCTTTTCAATTACCTCAACAATGTCTTTTTATATTTGGGTTTATCTGAGACTAGATTTAGTCTGTGTACCACATTTAGTTTGTATGTTTCTTAAATCTTTTTCATATGTAAGACTTATCACCTTTTTTATTTCCCATGACATTTATTTGTTCAAGAAAAAGGGTCATTTGTCCTCAAAACTACCAACATCCTGGATCTGGCTGATTGTAAACTTGTGATTTTACTTAACATGTTCCTTTATACCTCTTCCACTAAGTTTCCTGTACATTGGTAGTTGGATCTAGAAGTTTGATTAAATCCAGGTTCAAGTCCTTTGTAAGAATATTGTTCTAAATGTAAGTTTTTTATTAATCCCAGGCTCACTGGTGAAAAAGCCAGAAGAACAAAGCTCTTGAGGCACTTATAAGTAGTCCCATATTTAGAACATATTTGAGTTATCACAAATATACTTAAAACGTACTTAAGACAATCTGGAGTTTTTGTGTTGTTGGGATTCTTTTCCCCTCTTTTTTTCTTATGGCTTAGTAATATTTGGTATACAATGTTGTATCATATAATTTGCTGATACTCTCCCTCTCAGATGTTCACTTACACATGTTTAAAGACAAAGAACAGATTTCTAAAAATATTGACCATAAAAAGCAGTAATAATAATAATTAATAGTAATAATAATAATAATAGCAACCTGAGGGGAAATAAAAGAGGTATTTTATTTACATCAGAACCAATTTATTATAATGAAGTTGTTTGAATGAAAACTCATCATAAGTCAGAGAAAATCTGCAGTTATTGTTCAGATAATTTTTTTGGTTGTTATAGACAAATATTGAGCAATTGGAAAAGTTCTCCAGAGCTACCAGGGGTCTTGACTTGTACATTTTAATTGATAGATTCTTTGCTTTGTTCTCTATACTCTTTGCATCACAGAACTACATCAAGACCATTCTTCTTCCCCACCACCTCCGCTCCCAGAAAGAACACGAGAGTCTTTCCTTCTTGCTGAGGAAGACTGTAAGTGACAATACTTTCTCAGAAAACAATTATAAAAATAAGAACGCTGAAGGTTAATAATAAAGTAGGACCTAAGTGGAAAAGTATAAAGAATGATTAGGTAATACATAAATAATATATTTAAAAACTCAAAGGATAGTTCAAATAATGTGTAAAAAGGCCAACCTATGAATTACTGAAAGCATATGTTATATAACCTCAAAGTGTAAGAAACAAGGAACAAAACTAAACACTTCCTCTTCCCCCCCCCCCCTTTCTTTTCAGGTATACAGGCCCAAGCTGAAGCAACTTCTACTAGCTGTCCTGACACCATGGAAAACTCAACATCTTCAAAAGATATAATGAAAACTCCTGGGAAAAGTTTCACAAGGAGTAAGGTAAAGGGATGGCAGTTTTCTCATTCCTGAAGGTTTTCCTTTCTTTTATTATTTATGATAGGTCAGAGTTGTGTCCTATATCTATACCTTTTCAACCTGTATGCAGAACAGATTATCCAAGAGGCTGGGCTCTATGAGGAGAAGTGTGGCATCAGAATTGGCAGAAGATCTATCAACAACTTGCGTTATGCTGATGACACAACCTGCTTGCTGAAACTAAGAACCTGAAATGCTTGCTGCAGAGGGTCAAGGACTGCAGCCTTCAGTATGAATTGAGGCTCAATGTCAAGAAGACAAAGATGCTCACCACCGGACCAACTGGCAGCATCAGGATGGATGGTGAAGAGATTGAGATTGTTAACAACTTTAGTCTTCTTGGCTCTTAGGTCAACACTCTTAGCACCAGTAGCCAGGAAATTAAAAGACGTATTATGATGGGAAAGTCTTCTGTTAGGGACCTCTCCAAAGTACTGAAGAGCAATGGTGTCTCTCTGGAGACTAAGGTGCGTCTGATACAGGCCATGGTCTTTTCCATCACTTGTTATGCATCAGAGAGTTGGACAATGACTAGGAAGGAAAGAAGGAGAATTGATGCCTTTGAGCTGTGGTGCTGGAGAAGAGTATTGAGAATACCATGGACTGCCAAGAAAACAAATAGATTCATCCTGGAGAGGGTTAAACTGGGCTGCTCCTTGGAGGCAAGGATTCTGGGGCTTCGTCTGACATACTTTGGACATGTTATAAGGAGGGACAGGTCCTTGGAGAGGGATATCATGCTTGGGAGGGTGGAGGCACAGCACAAGAGGGGAAGACTCTCTATGAGGTGGATTGATTCAGTGACTGGGGTAATTGGGATGCGTGTGTCAGAGGCAGTGCGATTGGCACAGTACAGAGCAGAGTTTAGGGCTGTTGTATATAGAGTCGCTATGAGTCGCAGCAACTCGATGGCACATAACAACAACAACATGATAAGATTTATAAATATCTTTACAATAGATTGTTGGTTTCACCTAATCTTGATCTAATATCAATGCTCTCAAGTTTATAAACACATTCATAGATGACCTGCCTGCAGGTTTTCAGAGGCTGTAAATTGTATGAGAGGAGATTGTCTATCTTTCTCTTGTGCAGCAGCTGGTGGCTTTAAACTGCCTTGCCTTTGGGCTGGCAGCATATAACAAAATGTGCAAAGAACTGATGTTACACAACCAGTAGAGAAGAACATGTTTAACATTTCTCAAGTTGTAAGAACTGAAGAGAAAATTTAAGTTTCAAGTTGCAATACTTAAAAGATACTATGGGCAAAATCTTGAATGATCCAGGAAGTATCAAAAGAAGATGAAAGGAATATATGGAGTCACTGTTTCAAAAACAATTAGGTTAGAAAATACTTTCAGGAAGTAGCATATTATCAAGAACCAGTGGCAGTGAAGGAAGGAAGAGTTTCAACCTGCACTGAAGGCATTGGCAAAAGATAAGGCTTCAGGAATTTACAGAGTACCAGTTGAGATGTTTCAGGAAACAGATGCAGCCCTAGACGTGCCTACAAGTATATGCCAGGAAATTTGGAAGACTGACTGGAAAAGATCTGTGGTTCTGGAATGTTATTGTTATTGCGGGTTTTGTTAATGGTCTTAATGATGTGGAGGATGAAGATTCCCAAAATAAGCTGTAAACACTGTTTACCCATGTACCTGTCACCATTTATAAAAATCTACAGACCATCAATGTGGATTATTAAACTAATAGGTGATTATCAAATAAAGTTTTAAAACTGTAATAAAAAATGGTAAGACAAAGAATTGTGCATTTACATAACTATTCTAGTAAACTAATAATCTTTTTGACTAAGGTCTATATTTCTATTTCATGAAGGTATGTTGGATTTTATAGGAAAAAACTAACATTTTCTTTCTATTTTTATAGAGTTTGAAAATTTTACGAAATATGAAAAAAGGTGAGTTTAATACTTATTTTTATATATACATCTTTTTTCGTACTTAATTTTCCTCTACATAATCATCCTATAAAAAATGAATAGAGACTTTTAATTAGATCCTCTTAGGGTCATATGAATCAGAACAATTATTTGAAGGTCTTAAGACATTCCTGTAGGCTCCACTTTGCTAATATTGAGCAGAGAATAAAGGGAGGGGAATTTTTTGTTTAATAGACAGGAATAATAATCAGTATAATGTCTGGCAATTTCTACCCATGTTAATGCTGTCATTCAAGCTTGCTATTTAAAATTCCCAACAGTCTAACCTCAGATGTATTTTCTTTGAAAACAGTTAACAGCAAAGCATATTGCAAAACAAATGTGTTGATTTTATGAAATAAGCAAAGCTCTGACACATTTCAATTCGTACCAAGTATTATTAGCAATAAAAATCTGTTGCTTACTATTTTTGCTATATAGTCATGGAAATAAAATATAGATTCCGGAAACTATTGGAAATCCTTACTTACTCTAAAGGACATAAAACATAGGACTACATACTTTTCAAATTTAATCCATTAAGGACTGTAAAAAGAGCAAGAGCCATGTGACAATGGCCATATCTGACCATTATTAACTTCACAAAGGGGAACTATCAATAGTATCAATTGCACAAAATCAATTCCCATCAAGTCAGCCAGGTCTCCCACACTCTAGCACCTCTTTCAACTCATCTCAACACCATTCTTACTGCTTTATTGGTTCCACAATATGATGTGATAGCTCACAGACCACAAAGAACCATGCTGAGGAAGTAAAAAAGTTTGTAGTTCAGGTTAGTAGAAGACTACAGTGGCCACTCAATCACTTAAGAGTCACTTAAGAAGAGTTGTTTACAATATGTGCTTGCAGTGATCTAGTGGCAAGAAGCAATCCTGAAGTCGCATAATTCAAATCCACCAGATGCTTTGCTGGAGAAGAAGTGGTAATCTCCTCCTGTGCCACTCAGATTTGATTTGATGGTATGCAACAAGGAAAAAAGAATGTGCTTGCAGGCACTTCATGCCTGAGCCTCTAGGCTTTAGGACAGTATTCCAAAGTGCTCAGTCCTACCAATAATGCCTCCCCTTGCCCCCCAAAAAACTTGGACATAGTTGCCAACAAACTTGAGCAAACACACTTAGCTTACCTCTAGTTCTGTCCGTGGGGGTACCAATCTCCAGGTAGCTCCATCTCTTGTTGTTCTCTGGTTCAGCCTGGATGCAGGTGTTGTAGGTGCAGCTGAAGTAAGAATTTTTGGGTCCAAAGGATGTGTTATATTCTCTTCTTTCTTCTTCCACTTTACTGTCTGGAAGATCTAATTGTGCTGCTGAATCGCTCAATTTAATGGACAGACTAGCCAATCCCTCTGTGGACTGGTGGTTAGCAAATCCCCTAGTAGATACTAACATGCTCTGTTCACATATTTGTACCCATTCACATGGCAAAGTCAAGTTCAGTAGCTAGGAAAGGCATTTTGAATAATAAACTCCACAAGGACCCACAATTTTGTTGTACACTAGGCAACATCATGATGGATTGAAAAAAGACTGAAGTTGTTAATGATTTAATTTTACTTGGCATCACAATCAACACACATAGTAGCAGCACTTAAGACATCAAAAGACATGTTACATTGGGAAACTCTGTCAAGGATCCCTTGAAATTGCTATAGAGCAATATAGAGATGTCTGTTTAGAGCAAGGCACACCTAAACTAAGCTTCATATGCATGCAAAAGTTGCCCAATAAGTATAGAAGACTGAAAAAGAATTTATGCCTTTGAACTGTGGTATTATCAAAGAGTAATGCCTTGGACAAACAAATATTGTCTTGGAGGAAATGCAACCAAGGGCCGAACTCACTGAGAATTTCTTAAGCTGAAGGAACTGAAGAACAAATTCAAGCCATGAGTTAGGATGCTTAAGGAAGCTATGGGCAGAATATTGAATGATTCAGGAATCATTAAAGAATATGGAAGGAGTATACAGAGTCATTACCAAATAGAAGTGACTGACACAGAAGAATTTAAAGAAATTACAAATTATCAAGAGGCAAAGGTGATAAAGAAGGAAGTTCAGGCTGCTTTGAAGGACTTGGCAGAAAATAAAACCCCAGGAATTGATGGAATACCAATTGACGTATTTCAACAAACAGACGCTGGCCTGGATGTGTTCACCAATTTGTGCCAAAAAATCTGGAGGACAACTACTTGGCCAATTGACTGGAAGAGATCCATATTTATTCCCATATCACTAATATAATCCCATATCACTAATATAATCACAAACAAAATCCTGCTGAAGATTATCCAGAAAAGACTGGAATGGTACATTGACAGAGAACTACCAGAAATACAAGAAGCTGTGGCGCTATTATTGCCAATGTCAGATAGATCTTGGTAGGAAGTAAAGAGCACCAGAGGAATGTTTGTGTTCCATTGGCTATGCAAAGGCATTTCACTGTGTGAATCACAAAAAAAAATGTGGCTAACTTTGAGGAAGATGGCGATCCCAGAGAACTTGATTGTGCTTATGCAAAACCTTATACTTGGACCAGGAAGCAGTACTCAGAATAGAGCAAGAAAACTGCATGGTTCAAAATCAGGGAAGGAGTGTGTCAGGGATGCATACTGTTTCCATATCTTTTCAGTCGATATGCAGAACAGATCATTCAGGAAGCAGGGCTTTATGAGGAGCAATGTGGCATCAGGATTGGGGGAAGACTCATCAACAACATATGTTATGCAGATGATACAACCTTGCTTGCTGAAACTGAAGAGGACCTGAAACACTTGCTGCAGAAAAGTCAAGGACTATAGTCTTCAATATGGACTGAAGCTCAACATCAAGAAAATAAAGATTTTTATCGCTGGGCCAATTGGCAGCACCATGATAGATGGTGAAGAGAT